CTCAATGCACTGAGCCACACCAGCCAGGGTATCTTTTTCTTTTTTAAAGAAAATTTATTTACCCATATGGAAACAACAACAAAAATCCCTACCTCAAACCATATACACAAAAAATCAACTCTAGATGGATCTAGAACTTAAAAGTTAAATATTAAAACCTTTAGAAACACTATTTGATGAATATCTTTTTGCTGTTTTACTTCCTTAAATGAATAAGTTGCTCATCAAAAGACATCTTTTTTTTTTAATGATTTTTTAAAAGATTTTATTTATTTATCTTTATAGAGGAAGGGAAGCAGAGAGGGAGAGAAACATCAATGTATGGTTGCCTTTCGTGCATCCCCTGCTGGGAACTGGCCTGGAGGGAATCGGCCTGCAACCCTGGCATGTGCCCTGACTGGGAATCGAACCTCGATTGTCTGGTTCGCAGGCCCGCGCTCAATCCACTGAGCTACACCAGCCAGGGCAAAAGACATCTTGAATAATGCCAAAAGACACAGCTACCAACTGGGAGAAAATAATGATTTTATATAATCAACAAAGTATTAGAATTAAGAATATATAGAAAAAAACATAGAACCCTTAATCAATTATCAAAAGAAGAGACAATGCAATAGAAAAATGAGCAAAAGATATAAATGGCATCTCACTGGAAAAGTATGTACGGCCGATAAACATATGAAGACACACTCAGCCTCATTAGCATTCAGGGAAATATGAATAAGCATGGTAAAGGAATATCACTTTGACATCCATCTGGCTGGCAAAGGTTCGACAATACAAGGGCAGGGGAGATGCAGACCATGAAAGCTCTTAAACACAGCTTATTGGAAATATAAAGTTATATATTCTCACAACTACTTTAAAAAACAATTTCACATTTTCTGGTTAAACTGAATATACATTTACCTGTCAGTAGGTTGAATTAGTATTCCCATCTCACAAGTGAGGAAACTGAGGCCCAGAGTGTTACTGACTTGTCCAAGTTTATAGCTCATAAGTACCAGAGCTGGTCTAGCTCCAAAGAAGAAGAGAAAGCCCTGATGAAAACACTCCCAGACATTGGGGCAACTGCTGGCTGGGGGCGGGGTTTTCTGTGATCCCAGAGGAGAAAGAAATGTCCCAAAATAACATACAGGTAGACATGTGAGCATAGCCATTCCTTGGCTTCTGGCCCTGCTGCAATGTGAGTTCTGGGATAATAATTTCAGGTGCACCGTCCTTTTCCCTCCATTCAGCCAGCGTGCACCGCGAATGCCCACGCGGGCCTTGCGTTGGTTGCATGTGAGTGAGATGAGAAGGCACTGTTTTCTCTTGCCGCAACCAGCCCAACGAGGAGACAGGTACACAGGAGGCCTAGAAAAGTGCTGTGCTGGGCGGCAGCCCCGGGGGAATGTGAGACAGGCTAGTAGGCCAGGACAAGCGGAATAGGGAAACTGAGACAGATCATTAAACAAGCAGTTGGCAGCCATCTAGTAAATTTTATCTCCCCTAAACCAAGGGCATTTGACGGTAAACAGTTTGCACTTCTGCCAAACCAAGGGATAAATAGTTAAGTCACCCTGCTCAGGGAGATAAATAGCAAAAATTCAACTAGTGACGTTTACCAACCACACCCAAGGACAGATGAAGTTAGGGGAATAAATCTCATTTTGCTATATCAGCATAAAACTGATGAATATTCTATTGAGATCCATCCTCCCCTAAGACCTCCCCTAAACCTTTAAAACCCCTCAAAATGAAGGTCCCTGTGTGCTCTTCCTCTCAGGAGCAAGGCTGCTCCTTCCCCTTCCCCTGCTTCTTCCCCCACAAGCCTGTATTTCCTAAACCTTACTGGCAGCTTGCCTGGGGCTAACCCCTTGACCCTGTCCCCAAGGCCCCTTTCTTCTTAGTGAGCTAAAGCAGCCAGCTTAGGCTCATTTCCCCACCCAGTCCCTCTCCTGTTGCGGCTTCTGTGTAAGCCCTTCCTCGTTTGACTGTCCCCAGCTTTGATAAACTCCAGCTCTAAAAATCACCTGGACTCGTGTTGTGAAATCTTTCCTACGTGAGGTCAAGAACACACACACCACTGGCTGGCCCCAGGCAAACCTGCTCAGGGCCAGGTCGGGTAATAGCCAGGCACCCTGGGAGGTGGGGTGGGTAGACACCTCACCCCGTAACCTAGCTGCAAGCGTTTCTGTATCTTGTGAACAAATGAATCATTAGGAGACCCAGCTGAGTTGGGGATTGTCCCAGGTCTTTCATTGGTAGAAAATGTAGGCCCAGAGATAACCAATGACCTACCCACAGGCACATAGTTTTGGTGTGACAGAGCGGGGTCTGGGATCCAGGTCTTCTGGTGCTAAACCGTGCGCCATTCCTAGCTAGTTGTACTCCAGGCCCCTAAGCTAACGAATGGTTTGAGCGTGCCCTCCTGAGGACCAGCCTCTGCCACTGAGAACAGAGCACTGCTCCCGGTTTTCCTTCTCAGAAACAGACTTTCCTCTTCCATCACCCCTCTGATCAACAGTGATTGAGATCAACAGGGTGAATCACACCTTAAGTAGAAGCAGATCTGTATCGACACCCCTTGGTCAGCTTCCTGTGTCGGGTTCAGAAGGGTCATTCCTCTGGAGTTTTCCGACTCCTACCCAGATTCAACACCACCCTGCCCATGTGTCTTCCTTGGGATGTGATTTGGGGTGGGGTTGGGAACATGTGTCGGGGCCTTCTGGTTATGTGGATCTCCCCACAGCCTGAAACACCTCCGCCATAGCCAGTCCTCTGCGACTTCTCCAGAAAGACCCTGACAAATTGAAACACAGTAACTTGCCATCCGTGAGTCCCACACTGCAGCTATGAAAGTGCTTTACAGTTTATAGGGTGACCGCACCCCTAGAAATGTTTTTGATCCTCAGCACGGTTATGAAAGGTAGGGCAGCACCTTAAACATGTCCCTGTGAAAGAGGAGGATGTTGAGCGAGGCCCAGAGAGGCAGAGGACATCAGCCTATCAGAACCAATACCTGAGTACAGGTCTTGAACTCAAAATCCTGTGTCCCTCAGATAATAGACAGTTGTCTTAGAGAGCAGATACCGACAGTTGGGTTTTGATAGGAAGTGGAAGGGATGAGGGGGAAAGCTTCTGGAGCAGGGGAGTCGAGTGGCAGACCTTGGCTAGAGGGGAGATTGTGAATTCCAAGGGCACTGATAGTTCGAGCAGGAGGAAGGGTGCTTGGCAGTGGGGAGAGGCCACACAGGAAGAGTCGGGGGAGCTCTGGGGAGCTGTGGTTGGGCCCGTCCTGAAGCCGGAGGAGCTGGGGTGGATCTCTCCCCTAGGCTTGCGTCTGCTGCCTGGGCCCTGAGGGCCTCCCAGCTGGCTGCCAATGTCTGCTGCTTGGCTCCTGGCCAAGTGTCCTCCGAGCCTGTCAACACTGACCCAGTCATGCTGGCTCGTGACTGTGCTTGTGTGACCACGAATGAGTCAAGAGGGGAAGCAGGCATCCAAGGGCTTCCGGGGGATTCCCAGGGTGCAGGCTTCTCGGGGCCTGGATGAAGAAGGCCTTGGGGTGCCTTGGAGGCTGGGGCTCCCTAGAGCTGAGCTGTGAAGTTGCCCTCCTCCCAGGGTGGAGGGCCAGTCAAAGTATCCCCAGACCTAATTAATGGCATCAGTCGGGAGGGGCACAGAGGCCACGCTGGTGGAGGAAGGCCTGGCTTCCCTGCAGCCTGGCAGCTCTACTTTCCGGGGTGAGCAAACCGAGGCCCCCTTTTCCCCAGAAGGACACCTAGCAGAGAAACCACAACAGGGGCTCCAGGGGCCCCCATTTACTGAGACCTACTACCTGCCAGGCACTTATGTGTTTATAAATTTAATCAGATTTTGAAAATGACATTTGATATGATTACATATATGTGCTATACAGTGAAAGATAGAACTAGTCCAGGAGTTCTCAATCTGGGGTTCGTGGAGCCCTCAAAGACCTAAGGACCGAATTCAAGAGGTCTAAACATTTGGAGGAGGAGAAAACACATCTGTATTTACACTGGCCTCTACCTGAATGTCTTCCCTTCAGTGATGTGGCCACGAACCACAGCAGTATTAGCAGGACCTGTGATGGTGTCACTGACAGAACTGTGGATATTTTCAAACCACGTGACAATTTTCTCAAATGTTTCAAAATATGGTTTACATTTATCCCTAGTTCAAAATCACAGTTGCTATTAGGCCTCTCGCCAGGTCTTAATATTTCATGCGTTAATTAGTCACTATTACTATATCAAACATTTGTGTTTTAAAAACATGTGATAACTACATTTTAATAGAGTGAGTTTCCTTTATAAGTCTGTGTTATTTTTTAAAATATATTTTATTATGCCATTACAGTTGTTCTATTTCCCCCCTTCATTCCCTTCTACCCTGCACACCCCTCCCCCACCAATCCCCCCTTTTGTTTATGTCCATACATCACAAGTTCTTTAGATTCTATATTTCCTCTACTATTCTTGTCCTCCCCCTATCTATTTTCTACCTCCCGTCTATGGTACTTATTTTCTGTACCTTCTCCCCACCTCTCCCCCTCCCACTCCCCTGTTGCTAACCCTCCATGTGATTTCCATTTCTGTGGTTCTGTTCTGTTTTATTTTGTGAATTTAAGAACATTATCCTGAGAAGGGGTCCACAGGCTGCACCAGGCGACACCAGGGCTCTGGCGCGTGCACGGAACAAAAGCTCCCGATGTAAGCCCGCCCTGCTGTATTCTGCAAGATACCCATATTTAAAAAATGGATCCTGCTTTTTTTAAGGACTACATTCCAGTTACATAATAAAATTGAGCCCTGGCTGGTGTGGCTCAGTGGACTGAGTGCTGGCAGCTGGGGAAGTGAAATGTCACCGGTTGGATTCCCATTCAGGACACATGCCTGGGTTGTGGGCCAGGTCCCCAGCTGGGGCCATGCAGCCAATTGATGTTTCCCTCCCTTTCTTTCTCCTCCCCTTCTCTTCTCTATGACAATAAATCATATATATATATATAACACTTCACGAATTTGCAAGTCATCCTTGTGTAAGGGCCATGCTAATCTCTGTATCGTTCCAATTTAGTTTATGTGCTGCCGAAGCGAGCACAAATAAATAAAATCTTAGAAAAGAAGTTGAATGTTGATCTTGTTTTATTTAAGCAAGTGAAATTCAGCTGCCCACCATCACTGCACGGTGACCCATCTACCACTCTCCAGCTGAACTCTCAGTCCGTGAGCAGGAGACTCTTTCCCCAACAGGCACTTGAGTTGTTTCACTGATAAACAGCCTGGAGCCCTCGTCATGTGTCTCTTCACACCACGTGTGCTCTCCGTAATTACTCTGGGCCCTGCGTCCTAAGAGCGCCAGTTAAGGGACAGAGGTTTTTTTGACTAGAAAAGAGGCTGGTGGTGGAGGGCTGCAGGGGAGAGAATATGGGACAGCTGTTTTGCTTTGATGAAGGGTGGCCCTTGCATTCCTGCACGTAGCTCTGGAAGTCCAACAAAGACAAAGAGAGGTTTGGAATCAGGATGGCTGGGAATGACCAGCTTAGTTTCTGTTTTCTCCTTGCAGCCCACTTCTTCCGCTCAGCACTTCCCCTCTCTGGAGTCCCGGGTCCTCACACTGCCCCCCCCCCCCTGTCAAAAAGTGCTCTGAGAGAGAGCAGACGGTGGTGTGGAGGGAGGGGCGGTTCTAACACAGGGGCTGGGGCTGGGGCTGGGGCTGCGGGTGCTCAGGGCACTGGGGGACCCATTCCTGCACTTCCCTGAGTCTCGGTTCCTCTGCTGCAAAACAGGTGTGATTCTGTCTGCTCTCGCTGACATGGACTAAATGAGATGGTAGAGAGGAAACGTTTTATAGTTCCAAGTCACAGCGATCGCCCACTCACTCACACCAAGGTTGAAGCAACTGACAAAGATTCAGGGTGGCTTTTTCCAGTGGGCTTTGTATTTAAACTGGGAATCAGGTCTCGCTTCCTTTCCAGGGGTGAGCTCTCCCTTCACGGGAAGGGGAGAAACACGGGTTAGAGCTTTGAGGAGAAATATCCTAAAAGTGTTTATTAATGCACATGATCCTGATCATTCAGGATTCAAATACTGAGTGAGCGGACAGGCCAGGAGTAGTGACGGCAGACTGGGCAGGCCTCAGGGCTAGTAGGATAAGGGGACCGCAGGAAGGCAGAGCCCTCCCTACCCCCACCCCCCACTGCACTGCGGCTTCCTACTGACACAGAGGAGGTTCCTCTGGGCCTGAGGCTGGAGTGAGCGTACCCAGCCTCCTGATGGCCTGCCCCTGGGGTGCTGACCTCCACACTGCGGGGCCAGCCGGCCAGGCCCTGGCTGGGCTCTGCGTCCTCCCTCAGTCCCCTGGGTTCAGGAGGCCGGCTCGTTGCCAGGCCTGATGCTCAGCCGCACGGGCTCCCTAGGCCAGGCCTGGAGGCCGGGGAAGGAGGGCCCCGGAGTGGAGTTGCCTCCTCAGTGAGACCCAGAGTCTCCCCACTGCCCGGATGGCTCCTCACAAAATGAGCAAATCCGAAACTGATAGAGACAGAGGAGAGTAGGAACCAGGACCCAAAATGAGGAGCTAAAACTGAGAGGGGAAGGGGTGCCCCGGCAGGACAGGCCAAGTGCAGACAGAGCTCCGGCTCTCCTCAGAGCTGACTCCAGGCGCCGAGGTGCCTGGTCTCACACGTGAACCCCCGCAGGCCTGCCCTTCCTCTTCCCTCCACTCCCTCCAATCCCCCCGCCCCACAAAGCCAGCAGCTCTCCTCCATCTCATACCTCCCCAGGGCCGGCATTACCCAGGATGACCCTCCCCTCCACACACACCAGAGCACCAGAGCCGGAGCTGCACCTGTGAAGGACAGGGCTGGTGGTGGGGTGGGGAGTGACTCAGGACTCACCTCTGGGTTTGCTAACAGAGGCCCATACTCACTCCTTCTGACCAGGAGGTTTTAAGCCTTGTTTCTAAACCTTCAGCCATTTGTGAATCACTTTCCAGACTTTTGCTACCTAAACTATTATCCATTTAATATTTTTACCTTAAATCAATCCCTTTAAAAACTTAGCCTAGTTCCAAGCAATAATACCTGTGAAATCACAAGTTTTGATGAGCTAATTATTTTTTTCCTGATTTACATTTGGATTGATATGTTGTTTAAAAAAACAGAAACAGTTCACCCTCATATCTTGTAAACTCACGTTATGGACCACATTTTAAAATTTATCTTGTAGTCCATGTTTTGGGAAATTAGTCAGTGGGAAGACAAAGATTTGTGGATCCTGTCCTACTACTTCCTAGCTGTGTGACTTTGAGGAAGTCACTTAACCTCTCTGGGTTTCAGTTTCTCTAGCTGTAAAATCCTGCTTCCCACAGCTGTCATGGGCATGGGTGTGAGTACGGAGCACAGGGGCCCGGCCATGGTGGCTTTCCTCCTCCTCCTGGAATCCAACCCACTTCTTGCAGGATAACCTAGGCAGGAAGCTTGGTGTCTCCACTGTCTTCCTAACCTCAAGGAGCTACCACGTTCCAGGGTGTCCTCCACTAAAGGCTTGTCTGGGAAGAGGTGTGTTCCTTTGACACCCGTCCTGGAGTCTACAATCCCAGGGAAGTGCTTCCTGGGTTGCCCCAGGTCTCCAGGCTGCAGTGTCAGCTCCTGAACTTGTGTTCCACCCTCAGTGGAAATGGGAATTAGTTAGGGAGCCTCCTTCATGGGGTGGGGGACACCTGAGGATGTGGCAAGGCTTGTGGGATGCTGGGTTCAATGCTGGCATTGCCACTGTCTCACGGTGCCTTGGGCAAGTCACTGGCTCTCTCTGCACATGGGCTTTCTCACTTGTAAAACGAGGGGCCTGTGTTGACTGTGAACCCAGCATCTCCCTCACTTCCTTCCCCCACTGCAGATGGGGTGGGTGGACGGGCCAGGGACTCCTGCCTTGTCCTATTGAGTAACTAATTTGTTTCTCTTCTGGTTGAGGATGTGGGAACCGGGAGGGAGTAGGGCAGGGTGGGGTTGGGGTTGGAGAGGAAGTTGTTGATGAGGGTGGGAGACTGGCTGCCACTGAACCCTTCTCCACTGGAAACTTCCTCCTGGTCCCTGCCCGCACACCACTGCCAGGAAGAGTCTGTGGGTTTCTAAGGATGGTCTGGGAAGGGTTAGATTAACGAGGGGGTCAGGGGCCTGCCTGGTGGGCTGTCTGGACTGTGCCTGGTGCCTCCCTTTGAAGAGTAAACTCCAGATACTAATCTGAGTCTCCAACCATGAGGGGGCTGGGAGGGTTCAGCGGTCACCTAATCTCATCCCTCATCCTGTTTGCACAGAAAGGGAAACTGAGGCCCTGACTGGTTTAGGGTTATGCGATGATTTGGAAGCAGAGTGGGACAAGAGTCTAAGGGTCCTGCCCTCTGCCCCTTCCTTCCCACCCTCCTCCCCCAGCTCTGGTGATGCTCCCAGAGAGGCTGGGGCTTCTCTAAAATATGCTCTTGTTGGTTCTTAACAGGAAGTGTGGGCATTTTTGCTCCGAGCTGACAACCACAGCAGCTATACACATACACAGAGACGAGCACATGCACCCCAACATACACACACTCACACCCTCACCCAACCACTGGTACACAGCTGCGTGCACACACACAGAGCCACCTGCTTGTACTAGTCAGCATTTAGTTGCACAGACGGGACATGCCTGGGTCCTTCTCCTTGTGCCAGGAGATGCTCAGTCAGAGGCTCCCACCTTGTGCCCTCTGACTGCCTTCTACTCCACAGTGGAGAGTGGGTTTTAAGGGGAGGAGCCGAGACAAGGGTACCAGGCAGGGCTTCGATGGTGGTAAAGGCCCACACCGAAGGCTGGGCCCCATGGCGGATGCCCGTAAGTCCTGTCTTAGAGGGGCTGCTCATACATAGTTCACAGGGCTGACTGACAGGGAAACCACCAATTTGTCACAGGGCCCAGTGAGGCTGAAGAAATGGGGTCTTGGAGAAGTTAACTCACTGCACCACAATAGCCTGGCATGTAAATAGCAGAGTCTAGATTTGAACTTGGGTCTGTTAGACCAACAGCCTAGGTTCATAGTCCCACAGGCATGCCTTTCTCCATGCCAAAGGAACTGATCCAGGTAGCAGCATCTCGCATACCCATAAAATGCCACTGAACTTCTCATGGACAAAATAAAGGAAATAGTAATATTACTGAAAGCCTAGACTTGAGGAAAACTTCATGGACAAGGTGGTATTGAAGCTGCTTTAAGAATGAATGAGAGTTTATTAGAGAGGAGACCAAGAAGGGCTTTCCTAGCAGAAGGAACAGCATGAGCTAAGGTAGTACAAGAAGATGCAAGGGCCAGGGAAGGGCATGGTGCCATGGAGCAGGGGGCGACTGACCAGAGAAGTGTGTGGTTGGAGATCTGGATGGGGCTGGAGGACTGACATGCAGGTCGGAGAGGTTGGAAGGGCCTTGAGTGCCAGGCAAAGGTAGTTGGGTGCCAGGATGTCCTGGAAGATGCTTAAGGAGGGATGAGAATCCTTTGTTATGTGTTCCAGAGGCTCACTGTGATTCCAGGATAAAGGATGCTAAGGGCTGGGTGCAAGGAGATGAGGTTGAGGTGGGGGACCAAGGAAGAGCTGTTACAGGTGTTCAGGCAGGGGTCATGGGGTTAGCACCAGGCCTGGAGCAGTGAGATGGAGAGGAGGTAGGGTGAGGGAAGAGAGATAGCTTGAGAATAGATAGGGTCAAAGATGATTATGCAGCAGTGAGGTGCAGGCTTCTGGGACCACCCGGGCTCCACCTCCACCCCAGCCCAGGCTGCTGGGTTCAGGCCGAAAGGCCTCAGAGGAAGCCCAACCCCTGCCCCAGATTCCCTGTCATTTCCAGGAGCTGCCCACCCCACTTCCCCTCAGGGGAAAGCAGCAGGGACCCCCTACTTTTTAAACTAGCTGTGGAGTAATAATCTCTGCAGAGCTAGAAGGACATCATTACATTAGCCGCCCACACCAGGCAGACCCTGGGTCCACCAGCAGTGAATGAGGGACCCTGCCCCTACGAATGGCTGCTGGTGCCCCTGGAAGCCAGATGAGGCTCCTGTTGTTACTGCCTCAACTGACTGCTCTG